TGGGGGGGGTTGTGACCCCCATGTCTGCCCCCCAAGCCGCCATCTTGGACGAGCGGTCGGGCTGCGGGCGGGGGGAGCGGCTGGCGCTGGCGCTGGCGCGGGAGCACGTCAACGGGATCCTGGGGACCCCCCCCCGCGCCCGCCTGGAGGTCGACATCTTCGAGCTGCAGCGCGACAGCCAGTACGAGACCACCGACACCAGTGAGTGTGCCTTGCACACGCGTGTGCGGGGTGTGAGAGGCCGCGGGCGGGAGAGAAGAGGGGCTTTGGGGCCACCCACACGCGTGTGCGGGGCGTGAGAGGCCACGTGTGGGGCGTTCGTGGTGTGTGAGACCATGTGTGGGGGTATAGGTGGTGTGTAAAGCCACCCACACGCGTGTGCGGGGCATGACAGGCCATGGGACGGGGCGTAGAGGGGCTTTGGGGCCACCCACACGTGTGTGCGGGGCGTGAGAAGCCATGGGTGGGGGCTTTGGGGCCACCCACACGCGTGTGCAGGGTGTGAGAGGCCACGTGTGGGGTGTTCGTGGTGTGTGAGGCCATGTGCGGGGGCATATGTGGTGTGTAAAGCCATGCACACGCGTGTGTGGGGCGTGTCAGGCCTTGTGCTGGGGCATACGTGGTGTGTGAGGACATGCACACGGGATCCTGGGGACCCCCCCCCGCGCCCGCCTGGAGGTCGACATCTTCGAGCTGCAGCGCGACAGCCAGTACGAGACCACCGACACCAGTGAGTGTGCCTTGCACACGCGTGTGCGGGGCGTGAGAGGCCGCGGGCGGGAGAGAAGAGGGGCTTTGGGGCCACCCACACGCGTGTGCGGGGCGTGAGAGGCCACGTGTGGGGCGTTCGTGGTGTGTGAGACCATGTGTGGGGGTATAGGTGGTGTGTAAAGCCACGCACACGCGTGTGCGGGGCATGACAGGCCATGGGACGGGGCGTAGAGGGGCTTTGGGGCCACCCACACGTGTGTGCGGGGCGTGAGAAGCCATGGGTGGGGGCTTTGGGGCCACCCACACGCGTGTGCGGGGTGTGAGAGGCCACGTGTGGGGTGTTCGTGGTGTGTGAGGCCATGTGCGGGGGCATATGTGGTGTGTAAAGCCATGCACACGCGTGTGTGGGGCGTGTCAGGCCTTGTGCTGGGGCATACGTGGTGTGTGAGGACATGCACATGCATGTGCGGGGTGTGAAAGGCCATGGGAGGGGGCATAGAGGGGGTTTGGGGTGACGTACACGCATGTGCAGGGCGTGAGAGGCCACGTGTGGGGCGTTCATGGTGCGTGAGACCATGTACGGGGGTGTATGTGGTGTGACACGCCATGCACATGCGTGTGCAGGGCATGAGAGGCCATGGGTGGGGGCATAGGGGGTGTGTAAAGCCATGCACACACGTGTGCGGGGCGTGAGAGGCCGCGGACGGGGGCGTAGGGGGGCTTTGGGACCACCCACACGCGTGTGCATGGCGTGTCACACCACGTGTGGGGGTCGTTCCTGGGGCATGAGGACAGGCACACGCATGTGGATGGCGTGTCACACCACGTGTGGGAGGCACGAGGCCACGCACACACGTGTGGATGGCGTGTCACACTATGTGTGGAGGCGTTCGCGGGGTGTGAGGCCACACACACGCGTGTGCACAGCATGTCAGACCCCGTGTGGGGGGTGTAAGTGGACTTTGAGGCCAGGCACACGCGTGTGGATGGCATGTCACACCACGTGTGGGGGGCGTAAGTGAACTTTGAGGCCACGCACACACGTGTGGGTGGCGTGTCAGACCATGTGTGGGGGCGTTCCTGGGGCACGAGGCCATGCACACGCGTGTGCACAGCATGTCAGACCACGTGTGGGGGTCATAAGTGAACTTTGAGGCCAGGCACACGCGTGTGGGTGGCATGTCACACTATGTGTGGAGGCGTTCACGGGGTGTGAGGCCATGCACACGCGTGTGCACGGTGTGTGAGGCCCTGTGTGGGGGTCGTAAGTGAACTTTGAGGCCAGGCACACGCGTGTGGATGGCGTGTCACACCACGTGTGGGGGGCGTTCCCGGGGCGCGAGGCCCCGCACACGCGTGTGGGCGGCGTGTGGGCCCCTCGTGCACTCACACGCGTGTGTCCCGCCCCCCAAGTGTGTCAGATCCTGCCCAAGGGGGTGGTCTCGGTCCTGGGTCCGGCCTCCAGCCCGGCCGCAGCCTCCACCGTCAGCCACATCTGTGGGGAGAAGGAGGTAGGGACCCCCCCCCGGACCCACATCTACCCCCCGGACCCACAATTCCCCCCTGGACCCACATCTGCCCCCC